GCAGCAGCAACAACAACAGCAGCAGCAACAAAAGCAGCAGCAACAACAACGGCAACAACAACCACGGCGACCATAACAACGAAAACAACAACAATTTAATTGTGAATATACAAATAATAATTCAGCAAATCATGACAACAGTTGGCTATAAACAATTCAGAGCCAACGTAATAGACAACATATTTATCCATTTCACATTGTTTAAATTTCGCAACCTTATCCGCACAGTTGCTGATAACTAATTTAATGCGTGCTAGCCCTCCACCTCTACCCCCCGTCCATTTTATTCTTGAGCGCTTGAAATAGATTTTGGCGAGCATAAAGTTTGATGACAACAGCTACTTTTCAGTAGTCGATATAAGTAATTATAAGACTAATCCATAAATGTGAAGAGGGTCCCAAATTATATGCGAGAAACAACAAATAAAATCACGCGACTGTTAAAACCTTCTCTGGTATATCTCAACTTACATACTTTGGACGTGTTTACTCGTTTTAACTTATTTCATCTTTTACATGTTAACAATCACTCGATAGCGCATTTCGTGACCATGGGTATCCTTTCGTGTTCGTAAGTTCTTGAATGGAAATTACAAGTGGAAATTTCAAGTGTGTACTTCTTAAAATATACAATTTCCTTGCTTAACCTTCCACTTTAACCACTTCAAAACGTGTGAATGACCTAGACTAAGATCCTGGCATTCCAGACGCGGATACAAAACGTAATAAATAATGCAGGCAAACTGGCATTCGCATGCAAGAAGGCGTAGCACATTGCGCAAATCCTTATAAGCAACATTTCGTGTATCTTCCATATACCCCTACTTTTCCTTTCGATTTTCTTAACGTTTTTACACTATAAAATGTTATACCGACCGAGATATATATTGCTGACATTTTGGGACCTTTAGGCTTTATGCACTGCTGACGGCAATAACATTCTAATTGACTTGTCTTCAAGGTCATGCAAGTTTAATGGCTTTTAAATTCAGGCTTTTTTACCGAACACATGTATAAATTATTGTTATATTGTAACTAGTTTCGCGGTACTATCACGCATGCATATGTTTTTAATAACTCCGATCTGATTCTATCCTTTCAATAATATTTAAAGCATGCATGAACAGCCGATCTGATTTGCAATGAGCCAAAAGCAAGCCGCAGAAAAAATCAGATAAAAATCGGACGCGAATGCTTGATATTTTTTAAAGCACAATTACATACATTTAGTACGATCAAGTTATAACCAGCTATTTTGGCGATATGGTTCATTATTTCATTTTAGCCGAGAAAATCGAAGCTAAAGTTCTTGTAAGTGTAAGTGAAATGAGCGAAATCGCTATCCGATTTACAGATCGGTTGACTAAACCTTCATTTCTTTTGACTTTTTTCAATAACTGTCAATGATTGTAACAATACTGAAGATGAAAGATCTTCGGCAGTGTGAAATATAGCCTCATTAGAGAATATATTTAACCCCTATGATTCACTTATCGTTTATCAACGATATTTAACGTACTTCAAAAAAAGAAGTAACTAGAAATACGTCAGCAGCACACCAAACCCTATTCACTCACCTGTCCAAAATAGGCTTAATGAGTTCTTCTATTATTTTTAAGTGCCCTATAGGGAGTAGAACATGCACGAAAGTAATCCAATACGCAAAAGCAGATAAAACAAGACGCTAAATCAGGCGTTCACCCTGACCTCAAAATGATAACTTGCGCAGTAGGGTCGACCGATGGGGGTAGGAATGCAGGAAGCCTGGTTGACTCTATAATAAATGCATTACAATACTATAATCAGAGAGATGTTGGATTTTTAGAGTCATTGCCCATAGCCCGCGTGCAGGCCCAAGGGAAGAATAGCGGGCCCTTGCAAGCAAGGCCCGGTATTTTGTACTTTCCGCTTTCGCCAACGAACGCGGCATTCTGATTGGCTGTTTTTTGTTGGATTCTATAATTAGATCAGTGAAAAAGAGATGTTTTTGCCGTTATGCCAATGGGAATTGCTTGTTGTGAAGTGTTGGAATAGCAACATTACGACTGGAGTACTTGATACGTTACTTGATATGTTATATGTTCCTCAAGAAATGTATCTTTTGGTTAATGTTGACTCTGTTCTTGCACAGCGCTTTTCGCGGTGAAGATTTAGAGGCAGTATGTTGCATGTAAGCCTATTCGAAACACTTTGCGATTTGCAAGGCTTCGCTGAGCCTTTAATAGAGAGCGAAACAGAAGACGGTAATTGCCGTTTGAAACGAAACGACTGGACTCTGAACGCTCTCTTCTTTTGTAGAGTTCTTTACCAAATGAAATAACTGAAATAAATTTCGTACTTTCCGTCGCCAACAAGAATTGCACACACGATCTGATAAGTGAGACAATTTATTTATACCAATGGCGACAGCGAAGCACACATTAATGCTAATGTGGTCGCACGACTTCCTCATGATTTGAAGTTCGAGGCTGGTTTTCTGTTGAAATTCGTCCTAATTTGCCTGTTACGGTTTTAGTTGAAAATGAGCACTTGCAAATTTGCCAATTACTGACTGCGTTGCTTGCTTTTTCATTGGAGTCAAAACACGCCCATTTACACATTGTTTCTATTTTGAATATTAATTAAAGCAGAGAAAACCCCGCAACATTTTAATGCGAGTTTGTTGTTACTATTTGGGTTGCTGTCATTGGTTTTTGTTTGAAAATTTACGCGCGAATGGGGCGTGTTATGAAAAGGGGCGTTTCACAAAATACCGGGCCTTGCTTAGCCTGCTCACAGACGTTGTTGTTCTTACGCCAAGCGACGAAAAACTCGCTTGGAGTAAGAACAACAACGTCTGCGAGCAGTGCTTGCAGGCCCACTATTCTTCCCTAGGGCCTGCACGCGGGCTATTGCGCAAAGAAAAACACACCTATTCAACACGTAAAAGTGTCAAATGTACGACACAATGTAAAATGCATTAAAACAGGTACAATTCGTCGAAACTTCAACAAAAATATTTGGAATATATATAGGCCACTCAATGAATCGCCGCCATTTTGAAACTTAAAGGGTATTGGTAACAAATTATTGCTTCATCTGAAAAAGCATGGAAAATAAGCCAATTGGCCGTTTAATGCCCTATTCTATCTCATCTAGTTCCGAAGTTATACGCAAAAATGTGCAAAATATAAGTTGCTGATTCAGCACAACGTGTGACGTTGCTGAAGCATAGCTCAGTTATTATGGACCCAAATCAAATGAAATTTTGCATACTGATTGTACATGATGAGACGCATTTGAAAAATACTTCCAATTTTGTTGTCAAGGTAACAATGTCGTTCCCGGGCTCCTTGCGCCAATTTTATAAAACAGCTTTATTCATGGTATTTATAAGAATAAAGTAATATCAGAAGTATGTGTACCATACCTATGCATGCCAAAAGTTTACTTGCATGATAATAATTCTAAAATGACATAAATGCAACTAGTTATTAAAAATCAGTGTAAGGGGCCTGGGAACGACTGTGTTGCTTTGACAACTAAATTATAAGTATTTTCCCATGCCTCTCATCATGTACTATCTGTATGCAAAATTTCATTTGATGTGAGCCAATAATAACTGAGCTATGCTTCAGTTTACTATTCAATAGACATACTTACCCAACCAATGACGTCACACGTTGTGCTGAATCAGCAATTTATATTTTGCACATTTTTGCGTATAACTTCGGAACCAGGTGAGATAGAATAGAGCAGTAAACGGCCAATCGGCTTATTTTTTCATGCTCTTTCAGATAAAGCAATAAAATTTCTTATTGCCAATGTCCTAAATAAAACACTCAATAAATAACTAAATAGAACACTGGAACAACAACAACAACAACAACAACGACGACGACGACGACGACGACGACGACGACGACGGCGACGACGACGGCGACGACGACGGCGACGGCGACGACGGCGACGACGACGACGACGACGACAAAGAACCTGAGCCTGCAATGCTTTAATGGAATGTCACATTTGTGACACCAAAAACAAAATATAAGTTGTATAAACAAAATATAAGCCTCGCGATTCTCTCGCGTAAACAATTATTGGGAAAAACTAAAAAAAACTAAAAGTGAAGTCTACTAGGAAGTTTTACCTGAATAAATGCATTAATCGAAAGCTTAGAGCGCTGTTAAAACTCCTAGTATATTTTGTAAATTGTAAGCCGTTTTTTTAGGGAATGACCGCGCTTTTCGAAAACACTGGGACTGGCCTTCAAGTTTGGCTTTAAATTTCCAGTTGTAGACAGCGTTCCAGTAATATTCTTTTCACTGGTGTATACTTTCGGCAGAATAAGACCTGAAACAGGAATCTGCTGATGCCGACTGCAAGACACAATTCCAAGACCAATTCTGTTAAGATAGAATCCTTGAAAGGTGCTGGTTGTACAATAACGAGTTTTAAGAAAAGACGAGACAGATCAGTCAAGTATGATTTCACTAGTGTACATAATTATAGAATTATGTACACTATAGTGGAATCATTATTTAACTATATAAGCGAGGGCGCCGGAGGAGCAGGTTGCCTTTTTAGAGTTGCCTACACTTCGTGTAGTCGTGCGCTACTCGAAGTGAATTGAGAACTCTCTTCAAGCTCAAACTTGAGTATGAAATTCCACCAAAAAAGTTAACCAAGATTTCCAACTATATGAAAAAGCACGTCGTAAAGAATTAGCCTTCCTAAATAATTGAAAATCTGTCATGTTGTTTTATATACACAATGCATTTGAATCTTCAGCGTAATACAAGGAATAAAAGTGCTCCAGTCATTGCCGAAATTTGTGCATCTATATTGTACTACAAGTAATCGAGCATCCGTAACGCAAAATTTTAACGAACATTGCTGCCCCAAAAATTAGGACTCAGAACTAACTTTTTAAATGGCTGCCCCACTGCTTCACGTTGCGTCCGACGCCCCCTGGATTTAAGGCTTTTAAACCTTTAACAATCTTTCATTTTCTTGTTAGATAGCGTGGATGTTCAGTGTGCATCTCGCAAAATGGACCTGGTAGTTATGATAGATGGCACTATATCGATAGGCTACGAACCGTTTGCCGAACAACGAGATTTCGTGCTCTCGATATTATCCAAAATGAAATTTGGTCTCCAAGCTACACAACTTTGCATCATTCAGTTCAGCGATAAATTCTACACTGCTGTTGAGATGGAAATGGGAGAACATGGCGGACGGGCGGAAGTGTTAAGGAATGTATCAAATATTAAGTATCAACAAGGTAGACGAACCATGACTGGCTTGGCAATGGTTTTGGCTAACGAACAGGTAATACTGATTCAACATGTTTAGGCTAATCACCACAGTACAAACACCGCCGTTACCATTTCATCAGTTGGCATAATCAGTATAATTTCTTTCACATTAACCATTATTATTATATGCAAGCATCACTTCCGGTAAAATCACGGACTGTGATTGGTTGAGAAGCACTTTCAGCGGTCCATTATTTTCCAAAACAGCAAAGCTAATTGAAAATTTGAAAATTATAATTTAATTTCTTATTTATTTTTTAATAAGTTACCTGCGAATGGTTTTTAGTGGAAAAGAAGGAATGCATTTGTATTTTTTATTTTTTTGTTTTCTTCGACCAAATGTTTACCACACTACTAATATGCATATAAAATCATACACTTCATGTTTGTTTCAAGTATAAATGTCTATAAATGCCATATAATAAACTTATTAACCGGCCTCGCTTGCTCGGTATGTACAGAGAAATATCTAACCTCCATTCCTGGCAATAACTAATGAAACATCCAGTATGATTTAATCTATTCTTTCCCCCTTCCCCCCTTACAGTGTTGATTAAGATGAGTAAGAAATCTACACACAGTGCTCCCTGCCATCGATGAACAATTAAACACAATTTTTTAGACTCTACAGCCAACATTGTTCAGGGGGGGAGAGGATTTTGTCTATTTTATTGATTTTTTTATTGTTTCATTTACTTTTTGCCAAGATTGTCGGTCCTTTTGTACAAACCTTGCTCTACACGGGCTCGGTCTGTACAAAAAAGACCTCGGTCGAATATATTTCTGTACAGACCTCGCGTTTGGTTAATATGAAGCTATTATTACCGGCGTTATGCACCATCGTTCGTCATCATACATCAACGCCACCATCAAAATCAATCATAACATTACCATCGGGACTAAAATCACCATGACACTATCACCATCAACAATCGCAAATAAAACCAGAACCATCAACCAGAACCATCATCCAAAATCTTATCATTGTCACCATTATGATCATTTAAACCGCTATCATAACTATGACGAAAACCATGACATTTATTATTTAAAATATCGCTAATAAGACAATCACCAACTACAGACGACTCCCACTTTCTAAAAGAAATCCTTAAGAGTTTTTCTAAATTATAGAGCTTTGAGAGGAGATCTTGATTTGGCAAATCGCAAATGTGACTGAGCAGTCTATATGTAACAAATATAAAACATTTTCAGTGTTGATATACAGTTATATACTCGAGTGGGAATTCGGAAAATGAGAAATTGTGTGGAAACACGACGCCCGAAGGGCGGAGTGTTTTCACACAATTTCGAATTTTTCCAATTTCCATCAGTGTTGATAGAACTGTATATCAATATGGAAAAAATGTTTTATATTTGTTTTATAATATATAGCACAAGGAAATATAAAGAAATAAATTTCCCGTGTTGACAATCTCTAAGCCAATCAGCGTTCAGAATTTACAAATGCTTATATTTTAATATATATTATCACATACTTGTGCTTTTATCAGGGCGATAATAGGGTGATATTAACATTATTCATTCGTCCCCCAAGCGATAGAACTGATATATGATAACCTATATACATATACTGTAGCTGACTAGGAAATTAATTAAACATTGTTGCGGAAACATTGTTTCCTGCCAATGTTTCGCCATGTTTCCCAGAGTGGAAAACACTGGAAAACATTAGTGAGAAACATAGGTATACCTTCTCCCCGAGCCAACGGTGGGGAGAGCCGTTCCGGGCGTAAGCCCGGGGCGAGGGTACTAATTCCCCCCGGCTATCTACACCCGGGGAAGCGAAAGCATTAGCGAAGTCTAAAGTTCAAGAATGATCGCGGGCGTGGGTCACCAACGAAGTTTCGTTGGGTGGTCTTGGGTGGTCATCCTCACTGATCTCAAAAATATGGCGGACTGTCATGAATAGCGGACACTGATTGGTCAAATTTAAAGTTTGCATTATAACGACTGCATGACGACAGCGAAATAGCAAACATTTCTTGATTTTATGATTGATGAATGATAATCTCTTGCAAATATATTTCATTTTTGCAAGATTTGTGAATTTCAAAAGCTTTTTAAGAAAATAAAGGCGAAAGAATTACTAAAAAAAGGGAGTAAAAGCACCGACGTTAACGAAGGTAGGTTTGTTTTAAATATTGATGTATATATTGTTCGCTTTATAACGGCTTCGAAGCTGATCGTTGCGTATACTTTAAATGAAAAAGACAGCATATAATTTCAGTGTTTCTTTATTGATTAACATTTTTTATTAATGGGCGAATTTGAAATCATTATTTTGTTTCAAACTCAAAGTTTTTCGTAAAGCAGGCAGTTTAGTTTTATAAAGAACATTTTAAAACGTCTTGCGAAGCGTTTGAGGTTGAATTTTACGTACTATATAATAACATACTTAACATATATATGTTTGGGGAATTGAAAATTTTGTAATTAAAAGTGATATTTTTAAGGGATTTTTCATTTGTAAAAATATTCTTAATAAAATTATCGTGTTACCATGACAACTACTTTAAATACTTCATGTTCGGAAAATACAATGGTTTTGTCAGCAAGGCGAGGGGTTTCTGCATGCATGTATTTTCTAGTATAAACATCAAATGTTTCTGAATTCGCTATAGGAAACATTTTTGTTTCTCGGGAAGCAAATTTTGTTTCCGCAGCAATGTTTCCATGGGTGGGCAAACAGAGAAACATTTGAGGAAACATCGAGCATCACAAATGTATCCACAACAATGTTTCCTAGTTTGCCCAGGACTTTAAATCAAAAGCACATGCTCTCTCAAACCGAACATAGCCAAAAACAGCCAATATAGCATGACAAAATATAATTCGCTACAGTCTTGGCATTACTACTTTTTAAAATGGGCAGTTCTAACTTTTGAAGGTGACTTCTGCATCACGCAAAGCCCATTGCTGCCATAAAATTCACAAGCATAAGACCACTAGATCACGCCTAGCTATCACCAATTAATTTACGTTGTATGTACGTCTACTTTCAGCTTTTTGGCAAAATCAAGGCTCGCCCTGAGGTTGACAGGGTCATACTTTTAATAACCGATGGAAAACCAGCTGACATGAATCTGTTACAAAACGTTGTAAAAGAGCTCAAAGAAAAGCACGTGAAAATTATTAGTGTTGCGATCGGAACAAGTTATAATTACATACAACGATTCAGATACATAGTGAGATCCATTGCAAGTGGTTTTAAACAAGCTTTCAAAGTGGAAAAGGATAACATGAAATCTATTGAAGAAGATGTTGCAAAGGAAGTCTGCAGGACCGTACAACCACCAGCACCTCCTAAAGGTAAACCAAAATGTAAGTACTGAATATTAAATACGGTTTAATCAGCAAATCAGACTCATAAAAACTACCAAAACGACCGTACAAGACATTCAATTTTAAATATTTGAACCGATTGATTTATAAAACAATTTTCTTTAAAGTACAACAGAAATGCTTCCAAGAAAAGAAAGATATTCTCTTTGCACTTGATGGATCGAGAACTGTCAACACTTATACATTCAACAAAGCAAAGTCGTTTGTCGCTCAGATATGTGCAGAATTGGACATCACTCCAACCTTAATTCATGTCGGTATGCTTCAATATAGTGATGCGCTTAACACCAGGATTGAGTTTGGTTTGGACCAATATACCAAATATCATCAAATCAACGAGTCTCTACAGAATGTTTTTCATTCCAAGGGAAGTAGAGCGGATTTGGAAACTGCTCTGAGTATTATTGGTAAACAGGTAAGAACTACGGCACTCAGTTCCTTAAAATGATATCAAATGAAACGGTTATTATGTTTAACTTACAGATAATTCAAAAAAAGTTGTCCTTCAAAAATCTTAAACCTTAAACATTAAGCGCGCAAAGTATGATGGGTAACTTTCTATTTAGAGTTTTAAACTCGGAAGATTTGTTTTGACAACAATGCTGGGGCATAAATAATGAACACTTTCGTTGTAGGGCTATTTAGTCGTAGGGCTCCAAATAAGCAATATCCAAATAAGCAACACTTGCGTTGTAGAGCTCCAAATAAGCAATATCCATCATACCTTGCGCGCTCAATGTTTAAGGTTTAAGATTCTTGAAGAACAACTCTTATATATACTGTACGTAATTGACTGATTTGTGGTCACGTGAATAAATGTGATGTATCTCGCCGGGTAACAAGTGAAAAATTCTTGTTCGATCCGACCGGCTACGTTGGTAAAAGCTCAAAAGTTTTATACACCCTTTTCATGAATGGCTGCCGATTAAAAAAATTTTATGTGCATATAAATTGGCCCAACTAGCCTCGTTTCTGGGTAGAAATTCCTTTGAAACCTTAACATGAGTACGAGGCTAGTTGGGCCAATTTATATGCACATAAAAGAATTTTTAATCGGCAGCCATTTATGAAAAGGGTGTATACAAAGAAAGTTTTTCTAGTTCACGAAAATAATACAGTATCTGTAACAGAGAAGAAAAATTCTCGACAGGAAATGCCGCTGAAACACTTTTTAGCAAGTTATTTTATTGTTATTAAAAAATGAGACCTTTAGAAATCAAGCTGTTGTTGGAATTCGAATGCATCGCACTATGCTGAAACCTTGGGTGCGTAAAACAGACAGAAGTTAATAGATGATTCCCCTTATTACGTTTTCGTAGCGCTTTGCATTGTAGTTATAGTGGTATCACTGATAAAGATAGCGGCCTCGAATGAAAATATTGAATGTTTTCGCGAATATTTTGCTCGGTTGGCTATCGTGAACCTGATCCTAGCTTTTTTAAAAGTTCTTGCGCGGGTCGGGACAAAAAATAAGCCATCTTGAATATCAGTGATACCACTATAACCACAATGCAAAGCGCTACGAAAACGTAATAAGGGGAATCATCTATTTTATGCATGATGAAGTTATTTAAAGCTTTAATTTTGTTTGATGATTTTTATGAAGTTATGCTCCTTCATACGATTAGAAGCTATTCTCTATTTCCAGGAGCATAAAATTTTGTGCTTAATTTTCTGAAGGTATCGTCGGCCCGATCGAGCAAGCGCCTTTCAGCTCTGAATTTGTGGGTTCGATTCTCGCTACGGCCTCATGCATGGGATGAAAGCCGTGGTATGGGAAAGTATTTGCCTGAGGATTTCGTACAGATGTGCGGATAAACCGAAGGCAAATACTTTCCCGTACAGACCGAGCAAACCGAGGTTAATAAACCGTTTATTATATGGCTCCTTAAACACATTTTCTGATTTTCATATATTTGTTTGAGCGCGCTATAAAGGTATTTTTGAGCTATGTTTTATTTTCTAGTTTAGATTTGGTTTCGTTACCGAATATTGTTTACGGAAAAGCATGCTTATAAACCCAGTTTATATGATATTTGTTTAGAATATGGTATTAAAGACGTTAAATTCATCTTTATTTATTTTTTTAAACAAGTAAACAAATAAAAATATTTTCCCGCCAAAACTTACGGTTGCCAGTAAGAGTTCAAACGGCTTGATTTCTTAGCTTTTTCGATTAAATTTGTGTTGGTACAAGTACTTATTAATATTTCCAAGACTTCTTATTCTTAAAAATGATCCAAGGATACTTTTTCTTCACATAACGACCTTATAAACGTGTAAAAACGTTTCGAGCCTGTCAAATTGACATACGGGAAACCGGTCCGGATACGGGAAAATACGGACCACGGTACGGATACGTATATTTTTACTATGATTTTTACCGACCGCACGTCGACCAATCAGAATCCAGGATTCTGTAAAGCCATATAATACTTGATGTTATTAAGCGCATTTGACTCGCGTGTAATTTTGCGCTAAAGAAATGCTAATCTGTCTAAAAAAATGATGACTCTACAGGGTGTATAAAAAAAAGGAGACCTTTAGAAATCAACCATATTGTTAAAATTTGAACTGATGCCTTTCAATTGCAATATGCTAAACCGTAGTGCGTGAAATATTGATGGAGTACATATATTAGTAAAAGGAGACCTGTATAAAAATGACCCTTTTGTTTACAACACCCAAACTTTATTACCTCTGGGAGTTTAGAATGCATTGTAGGGCCTAATTTTAGAAGCATGTTAAGGTAATTCCGCAGTTTTGCATTGCGCACTTTTACTGCGCACATCTTATAACTTATAATTTCATCCATTATACGTATCGTTTAAAAAAAAAGATCATTTTATGTACTGTTTAATAAACGAGTAGGAGTGTTTTATCACATATAAAACACGACGCGTAGCGGAGTGTTTTATATGTGATAAAACACGAACTACGAGTTTATTAAACAGCTTCAAAAACGTCTCAGTTAGATCACGGCATTGGCGAAATAATTTTCCAAAATAACTTTGTATTAGCTGAGAAAATACAAGTTGAAATTTGAAGCGTGTTTTATCACATATAAAGACACGCCACGCTTATAATTTCTCTTTGTGTTTTCCTCATGAATTGTTAATGAGTTTTTGAAGACAAGTCAAGATGGCGTCATATTGGGGCAAAGGTGGTATATTGTGATTATCATATCTTCTTGACGAGTTCGATGACCCCGACTTTTTTGTGTGATTTTACTTTAAGTATATCATAAACTCCATGCCTGGGAAGTTTCAGCACATTCTCATTTCCGGAACAATTACTGCGGAATTACCTTAAAACTGCATAAACTGTACATGAAAGTCTAATTAGAATGAATGTTAAAACAAGTTTTTACTGTTTTACTGTTTTACGCGCGGTCTTAAAGAGGCTGTCAAGTCCTTCTGTTTTAAAGTGCTACTGCAGCGAATTTTTCGACCCTCATTTTTTTAGCTTAATTAAAAGTACTTTCCTTCCTGACCTGTTTACCACAAACAGAATTGAAATTGGTCAATTCAAACAGATTTTATAGTCTTCCAAAGTGGCCATTTTTGGCACTTCCTGTGCGAAATTTTGGTCGGCCATGTTGATGTCATGTGACGTCATAAGATGAACACGATTTCATCATGGCATATTAAAATTATAGTAAAACCAACAAACACGGATACGAAGGCCGTGTTTCTGCCAGTTCTGAACAGCCTGAAGGAATACCCATGCATCTACTTCCCAACAAAGAAACAGATACACAGAGTGAAAGAAAGTCACTGAATTTTATCCGTAAACATTGACCGCGGGTTTTCACGCATCTGCGAACCTAGTGTTTTCATTGAGCCCGTTTTGAAGATTCGTGCTATATCTTATTTTCATTGACAAAACCTCGTAAAATGGAAAGAATACTGAAGGAAGAAACTGTTTATACAATTCACATGGCTAGAATTATTCCCCTGGCTTTACAACTAACAGACGCAAGGCAAATCATTCAGGTATATAGTGAAGTACAAATTAATATTTTCGCACACATGGTGAATATTTTGCGCAAATGATGCTGTATAGTTAGTCTAAAGTGTTTAACATTTCTTATGTTTTAGATGATTTGTGGTTGTAAAAAGGCTATCTCCTGTTAAGTTAGTTTCTTGTCCAGAGCATCTTGTCAATCTTGAGATTGAAATAAAGACAACAATTCAGCATGCCTTGACCTAGTTTCGTCAAGACTTCTGATGACATTTTGAGAGGAACGATGCCATTGGAATTATATTCAGTCATATCAATAATACATATTGCATAGTATAAAGTAACAATAAATATAATATATAATACAATAGTATAATATTGCACTGATACGCTATTATGTGAGAAATATATTTGTGCACAAAACATGAGGAATGCGACTTAACTGGTTACTTTGAAGATTAATATAATTTACAGTATATGTGATATTGCACAGTGGCACAATTTTGACTCAATGGTTAACTGACTCAGTCACAATCTGCCTAATCCAACTACAGTCGACCGCTTTTCTGCCCAAACGTAAGGGAGCTGTGTCTTTGTTGTTGGAAATTATTTTCTTCTGTTTTCCCATCCAGACCAAGTAAAACTATAGCCATCAATCAACCTCGTTCCCAGGGCTTCAGTGTGAGGACGAGGCGAGACACGAGGAAGCCCTGGTCCGGGCCGGTCAATTTTGCATTCTGATTGGCTAACACCATATTGTCTAAAAATAACTGAACTTGACAGTTGACAATAACAATTCAACATTTGTATTTTTATACGATTCTTGTGTGTACGAGTATGTTTTCCAAAATAATCTTTCAAAGTAAGACGTTTTCCCGACTGCATGATTTACTTTCGCCTCTGCCGGTTACAAAACTCGAAAGCCGTGTCGAAGTGAGCTGTGATGTTTCCTGACAAAACAAGAAACGTCTACTATTATTTAAGCTGTAGTTTTCCTTGTACAGTATTTATTAATGCAGATATCTGTCTGATGAAATACAACGCGTATTCATTGTAGTAATATTTTAATTGACAATATTCTGTACTGACAAATAAAAGCAAGACAAACAATTAAATGAAACTACTAAATTAATTTAGGCCCTATTTACTTAATAGCTCTACGCCTAGGCCGATGTAGTCTCCACAAGATTCGCACGCCACCCAGTTTTTCAGTTTCAGAATACCCCGAATACTATACGATAAAATAAAACAAAGATTGTGAAGGGGATAAAATTTGTAGGCAAGCATTGCTCCTGAACGGCAAGTGTTGGTGTCCGGCGAAACAAGCGAACCGTATATTCCTGTACAGCGTAAACAGGTTACGCGAGGTTTTATCACTTATTCCCCGACAAGATGTATTCATTTGTCTTTATAGAACTAAGTCAGATCTATAAGAGCATATTTAAACTAAATATTAATTAATTATAGCAATAGCCATATTGTTCAAGACGAGAGATAGGAAATTTCGTGTGAATCACCACTTGCATGGAGACGCCTAGATGCAGCTTGGATGCAGAGCTTTGCCTGTAGTTGAAAATCTCCAGAAATATCGGTATATCTTAGAAAACATAGACGGGATCTTCAAAGATTTTAGCTGATTCGTGCCAAACTTCGCTCTACACATAAATAATATCGATTGAGAAGTCTTTCGGCTATTTATTTGTTTCAAAGACTTGTATATTTCATTAAAGAATATCTCGCCACTCCTTGACGAGTAGCTGTCAAATACTGCCATTTTTTGACGTCACGTGACCGGCCCGGACCAGGGCTTCCTCGTGTCTCGCCTCGTCCTCACACTGAAGCCCTGGGAACGAGGTTGGCCATCAATAGAACCACAGCCCGTAATTGCCAATTACACCTATCGCTATCTATTAAAAACAAAATCAAAATCATTTTGAGTAGTGCGAATTATTACTATTAGGCTATGAATATGCTTGTGTTTATAAACATTATTATATTTTTTGTCACGCACAATCCAGTTTATAATAAATATTAAGTTACACACACCAGATGTGTTCAAACAAATCAGACACAATACCACATACATGCAATAAAAAGGTCTGCTTACCACTAATTTTACAGGTAATGTACCATCGCTTGATTGCTCCAACACAGTCACAGATGGTAGTTGCCTATCTGCAGCGGCGTTATATAATTTCTCTATCACTTCGTCTAGTGACGCTGTATAAAAGCTGTTAGGCAACTGGTTCATCATCGTATTTCAAAGCCGACTTAGCCGAGTCCATACTCGTTGACTTCCAGATATAGTATAAGTACTGACCCTATTATCTGAATCTCTAACCGTCATTTCGCCGTCAAATAAACAATAAGATATAGCACTTGTTCTTCGATTTTTAAAAATCAGTTATCTGTGCCATAAACAAGTGAAATAGACAAAAATTCCACTGCAATATGTTGACGCGCCATATAATTTACTACAAATACGACCTTCATATCTTCGTTTCCGTTCATCTTATGACGTCACACGGCATCAATATGGCGACGGAAAAGTTCGCACGGGATAACCAACTTCAGAGGTTAAATTTGGCAACTTCTAAGCATCGCATAATGGTCAAATATATATGAAAATGCTTCTAAAAGACTGAATTTTTATTTAAGCTGAAAAAAACTAGGTCCAAAAATTCGCTGCAGTAGCACAATAAATAATTTAATTGGGCCCGCAAGTTAGCTCATTATTACGCATTCAGAATATATCACGAAGGAAACATTAAATTACTAAAGCAAAAATTTAGCTCCAAAACAACAAATTTTAAATCGAAAACGTTAAGAAGCACTTCTTACAAAGGCATGGACAAAATTTGATTGAAATTGTACACATTTAACTCCTAAACGACAAATTTAAGATTGAAAATGTTAAAGAACACATCTTTATACAAAGGTATGGACAAAATTTGTACAAATTGCAGTCAAATTTTGCCCATACCTCTGTAAGAAGTGCTTCTTAGCATTTTTCATTTAAAATTTGTTGTTTTGGGGCGAAATTTTTACTTTAGTAGTTCAATTTTTCCTTCGTGCACAGATTGGAATTTTAAATTATCTATATATTGTTTGAAACAAAAATGTAAACAAAACACGCGCATGAGGAGAACGGACTTGACAGCCTCTTTAAATTAATGCATATAATCATATTCATATGTTTAACGATACCAAAAATTTTTAAATAACTTCCCATGCATAAAATTAGATTCAATTGTATGTACGCACCATAGATATCTTATATACACTAGATAGTGCATCTAATTATTCTACAATTCAAAAATTGAAGCCATGATTGCAGACTCAGGATATTCCCATGAAATGAGAAGATTCGTGTTAAACCTATTCCAAATACATTTTCAAATTATTCAAATGATGAAAGTTTTGTTGTTTTTTAAGCGTTTATTAGCGAGTGGGAAACTTCAACATGGCCGCCATCTATTCAAATGGGGGTAACCGCTGGAATATTCTTGGCTTCAATTTTACTAAAAGAGATGCACTATCTAGTGTATATAAGATATATATGAGGCAACCCATGGGTTCAGTATAGGACAGAGGAATTCGGTTTTTTATACACCCTGTGTAGGGTGTTCCAAAAAAGTGACACTATAGAAATTATCCTATTGTTATAATTTTAATGCCTGAGCACTGCTGAACACAAGAGTGCATAAACACAATTGAATTGTTAATTATACCAGGCGCATGAAATATTGTGGTTAACAACAATAGGATAATTCCTCAAGTAGACTTGCCACAAGTCGACCTCGAACGAAACGCTGCTCGCATTTCGTTCGAGGTCGACTTTTGGCAAGTCTAACCCTCGAGCTGCTCTATTTACTGTTCGGAGTACTCCGGATTTTCGGAACACTAATGGGAATGGAACACGTTGAAAAAGCATACTTAGATATACAAGTAACAGCAATCATTATACGATTTATTATGCAAATACTAATGAACGCATAATACAATAACACGCACGCATATATAATAAACTAAACACGCATATATAATAAACTAAACACTTGCACGCATATATAATAAACTAAACACTGCTCCAGAGTCCAGAACACCGTATGCACTCCATTTCATATCGTTCGACTCGTTCCAGAATAGTGTTCCAAATGTTCTAGAACAGTAAATGGAGCAGCCTGCCTGTATAACAAGACACTTATGTCTGTTCCCTCGGAAAATAGTTTGTTTTGTTTCTCCTCAAAGCTCAATGTTGTTTTTTTTCGAGACACCGAAACTCTGGGGAAAACAAAACTGTGTCCTTTGGGTGCAGAAATTAAGTGTATAATACCTTCCACTATTGCACTCATAAACATGCATTTTTGTATAATCTCTCACACAGATTTTTAATGGTCAAAACGGTGATCGTATTAGTGCAGAAGATTTTGTACTGTTATTCGTAAACGACGGTTTAAAACAGGGTGATCAAGTCCTTGAGCAAACACGGAAGTTAAAAGACAAAGGCGTGCATGTCATCATTATTGGTTTAGGAAAACCTGCAGATTTGTACGAAAAAATGGCGTCACACCCAAGTGATGTAAACTACCTAGATACTGTGTTATTGAAGCATATTGTGGGGGATCTGACCGCTATAACTTGCAGAAAGGTGAAGTGTGAAGATAATGAAGTTGAAAAGAATCAGAAAGGTAAATATAATAGTGAAAGTCAACGCAAAACGCGGAATGGATGCGGAAGTAGCTAAAGTCAACGCAAAACGCGGAATGGATTGCGGAAGTAGCTAGTGTATATCATATTATTTATTAAATTAAAGACCGTTTAGGATTGAACAATAGGCAATTCCAGCTTTTAGTTTATGCGTGCAGGGGACGATGGGAAGTAAGGTATCACATTGCTGATTATGCTGAAGAAATAAAAATGGTGGCCGTGTAAACACGGAGTGATAGCTTATACTTGCAAATATTGAAATATTTTGGTTGTTTTGTTAGTTTTTATTGAAATTTTTCAGCATAATCAGCAATATGATACCTTACTTCCCATCATCCCCTGCAGGCATAAACTAAAAGCTGGAATTGCCTATTACGAAGGAGAGGCGCTCTCAAAGTGGAGCAGGGTGCCAAGACGTGGGGGTAACATGGAGTGAAGGGTGCAACAAGATAAACATGGAAAATTGCAGTATTTATTCAACAAAGATTTGTTGAAGAAAGCCCCTAACTTGAAATAAAAGACCCTGTTATACCAATTATCTTTTTCATGACGTACGGAGGAACACAAATGACATACAGATCAAATACTAAAATCATTGCCATACCATTTTAACCCTACAGTTTCAAACAACTTTCCATGTTATGATTCTGAAATTTGCAAAATTATTGTGAGGTGAGTCCCTCTTCGAAATCGACCAACCTCGTACCCAGGTTCTCAACCTTCGCTCCTATGTGACCCGTCATATTTTGGCGGATTTGCTCAATTGTTTTTAGGGAAAGTATAGTAAAAGAGATGTTTTTTCTGTAATGTTATTTTAACAATATTAATATTAACTACAATATCTACTTACTATACTTTCCCTAAAACAATTGAACAAATCCGCCAAAATATGACGCGTCACGTGACCAGCCGATACCAGAGTCTCAATTCAAGCGAGGTAGGAACAAAGATTGAGAACCTGGGTACGATGTTGCCAAATCGACATGGAATTGGTTGCAAGAGGGCTCCACTGAAAATCTCCCCTCCTCTACACCACTTATTATATTTATGTATCATAATTCTAATACTATCATTAATGCTAAACCCAACGCTAATCCATCGCATTCGTCTGCTATTCGGCGCAACCATGCATCCTTTTCCATTCACTGTATCATTTAAATCCTGCCGCCGGACTGACTTTAATAAGAATTTTGAACGTAAAATGTTTTTGGCATGAGCGAGCCTGTAGCCTGCGGGCTTCGAAACGACTGTGTCCTTTTGTACTGGTATTGACCAGTGGCTTTGTCACGATAATCAACACTTAATGACTGGAACCAAGAAAAATCGTTTGTTTTGTATATCGTGGACCGAAAGTGAAATCCAAGGGAACATTGGCCACCGCTCAGAGCTGTTGCCACGAATTGTATATCATGACTTTCACGTAATTCGCTCTCGTCCAATGAGAGTTCTAGAATACATGAACTTCGACATTTGGAAAAAAATAAAGCAAAGTTATTTTGATTTTTATATTACCTTAGAAAACAACCGTAACTGACAACATAATAAAATTTCGTTCTAGACAAACGAGATAGCGAGAAAGAATCACTCTGCCAGCAACGTTCTCAAGATGTTCTCTTGATGATTGATACAACAAGCGGTATGAAGCCATACTTTAATAAAGCTTTGAAATTCTTCACGAAATTCGTGAAGAGACTCAACATTGCAGCTACCAAAACGGATGTTGGGTTGATGACGTTTGGAAGGAATAGAAAACACCTTAACATGGAATTCGGAAAATATAAATTTGAGAACGACATCAGCAAGAAAATTTTGAAAACCACGCAAACGGATAAATGGTCCAGTCATGTCGATGTTGCTGGCGCTTTACATATGGTTAACAAACAGGTATATGTACGCAGAAATGTATCAGCATATTAAAACAGTTTTTAACTTTAGAGATAATAGAAGAATAGAGTAGGCATTGAGAGAAATTGAAGCTTCGTTCTGGACGCCAAATCCATGTGCAAAAACTAAGAAAAGTTATTTTTCATCATTTGGCTTCAGTTCGAATATTGTATTCCCTAATAGAACTGAGTTTATTGAAGTCTTCACATTTCGATATTTCCAGTTAAATGAGAAATGTTGAGCTTTTTTAAATAAATTACTGAACAACAGTCATGTTTTCGCTCGCTACTCAGTTTTTAAGCAAATGAATGCAAAGCCCAGTCGAATTACATTCACAACCCACCCTAGAATATATAAAAAGCCCATTTTAACTTCAGATCACCCCTGAGGAAGACACTAGCTGGAGTCAAGAAGTGTCGAAATGTTAGGTAGTGAATGTAATTCGATTGGGCATTGCCTTCATTTGTTTAAAATCAGAGTAGCGAGCGAAAACATGACTGATATTATACCTGTTTCCTGTGAACTCACAAGCTTCAAAAATTACAGAACAAGTTGATTTAAGAACTCACACCTACTCTTAAAAGGAAAGCAGTGACAAGTGCATATTTTTAGGAAATTTAATATTTTTCAATCTATAGATATTCAACACCTCAACGGGAGGACACCGTAAGGGATCCCCCGACCTCATATTCATTGCAACTCGCGGTAAGGTATTGGACCGATATAAAATACAAAAACAAAGTAAGATGCTCAGGGCTAAAGGAGTTCGAATTGCAGTATTAGATGTTGGTTTCAAAACTCCAGCGATCGATTATCTTAATGCTATTCACGATATGGTTTCCGGAGCAAAAGATATATACCCGATGGACTTCAGAAAAGCTAGCACCATCTCACAAGCTCTGCTGGATGTGAAGTGTAAAGTGGAGGAAAAAACAGGTTTGTATTAACAAACTACATCATGCCTGAAAAGCTGTGTCATCATCACTGCAAATATAAATAATTATAATTATTATACATTCAAGCTTTACTCTCGTCTCTGATTGGTCAACACTCCCGGCTAATTTCTAATTTGCTATTGCTGTCACGTTATTTCAGCTGCTGACGTGTCAGCCTGCAATAATATTTTTTGGACATGTGTTCGGTTGCAAGAAATAATTATTGGACGCTGTAGAGCCCAAACCCCCAGCTCGGTCGGTAAATTGTCTAAAAAGCCGAAACCAAATGGTTTGCAGTAGGTATACGCTTTTTTAAAGTTTGCTAGCCAATGTTAACCAATCAAAATCGCGTAATTTAAAGTTAATTAACTACTATGTTACCTGCAAATTAGTTGTTAGTCTTGTTAAAAAGAAGTTAAAGTTTCACATAACAGGTTTCTGAAAATCAGCTCAAATCACCACTATATTTGCCCATGATTACCCATGAACGAGTATTGGGGCAGTGTTACACTCTCCTCCCCCCTCCACACACACACAAACACCCGATCGCTATCATAGAGATTATAAATAACACTAGGGGGGGGGGGCATCGTAATCTTAATTCAGTCAAAGAAAGGGAACGTGGCTAATGGGGGGGAAAAATTAAAATGCTAAAATAAGAGCGAGTTTGAGCCAAAATATCCGTGTTATTTATAATCACTAGGGTCGCTACCGTATCGAAGCTTGGTTAAATAGATTATAATGCTTATATGATCGATCTTTCCACCTCCAGTATTATTTTTTTCTAGTTTCTCCACAGTGTTTCTCACGATCGCGTAAAGTCTTCTTCATGTTGGACAGGTCGCAGAACCTGACTTACAGTGAACTGCCCAAAGTCATTACATTCATTAAAGATATTGTGAAGAGATTGTATACCGACCCCAATAACATTGAAGTTGGCTTAATGCACTACAGTGATATACGTACGGCAAGATATCCATTGATGTTGAGAAAATGGTCGTTAAAAGTTGCCTTGGATAGAATAGAATATCTAAGATACCGATCAGGAAGAAAAAATTTCTTGGGGTATGCCCTGAAGACTGTCAGAAAGGTATGAACCATGTCTGAAATGTTTAGATGTCATTAAGCGCATACCTAATTTTAAGAATTTTTTATCACTGCGCACTTTTATGCAAAGTTTTATCTAGCCGAGCAGAAACACGCCCACCCTTCTACTGTATAACCACAAACACAACATACACTGCTCACCGCCAAGTTTACGGGGACCCAAATAAAGAATTACAGTGAGATATACATAGATGTATACGTAACTGTCAACTATACTTCCATGCAGAATGCAGGATCTGGCCATTTCTTGGACCTCAAATTTAAACGTTTTCCCGAGGAGAATGCTCACAGGCCCCCTAATCATAGTGTTTCAAAAGAAAGTTGCCCCTTCATTCCTCTGGGCGGTCTTGACAGCACTTTCAGTTACCACTGTCTTTGCATTGACAACATACTAGTTTCATAATCACATACTTGTGGGAAAGAAATATTTTCGTCTTGGCAAATCAAAGGCGGCTTAGGCGTGACAAACTTCTAGAGGAGTTCCAGGGGTATAATCTAGGCTCTCTGAAAAAGTATTTTCGGCAATGTACAGGGACATTCTATAGAATTCTGAAGATTCTTCACCAATTAGAAAAAGTTAAGTATCGTTCACTCCATCTTCCAAGCTCATCAACAGATCTTTGGTGGGAAACTTTGTTCATCTGATGAACCTTAAGTATAATATTAGTGCATGCGGACGTTCGATCATTTGGCATTCATTCAAATTATTCTCAATCAAAATGTTTTGATTAATACTGTCAAGTGTCAAGATTAATTTTTAGTTTAGTTTTTTTGTTCATTGCTCACTTTTATATATGGCGAATACTGGTAATATATATCTAGACAAGACGCCTGCTCAGGCGTTCACACTGGCTTCGCGGTTGGTAAAATACCATCGCAATACTCTAAAAAAAAGTTGAAACATGTAGATGTTCTTCACTTCTTGACGGCCGTCACTTCATGATCACAAACATTCAGAGGACGGGACAATAAAAATCCGTACAAAACCAACAGAAAAGTTCACGCGCATGCGCAATTACAGCGTCTACGATTTATAACGTAGTTAAACTCGAAAGTCGTTCTGATTAACATTGTGTAGAATTGGTCCTAATAATCGTCTGAGCATGTTTTAGCTAAATTGCGCAATCCTTAGCCCACGATGCCGCAATGAAAAGTCACACATGCGACGACAACAAAAAATACACTAAAAAGACGGGAGGGGCAAATGGAAGCAAGGGCAAATTATGACACTGGCTGCGGCCAGTGTAATAAGAATGCAATTCCACAGTACATGATGCCTGCTTATGGGCGACGTCACTCAATGCATAGTAATTAGTTGTATATATTTCTTAAAACTATTGAAAATACTGGAAATGGTTTAAAAACTGCGCTAAAATAGTAACAAGTGTGAGTACTAAATTTCGCTTTGTTATTCAAAAGACAAAAGAGACTATGTAAGTGCTCGCGTTGCGTCGACACGCGCGCGTGTACAGATCGGAAACGTTCGTACGTTGTCGTGCCTTTTTTGGCGCGAAAGAACACAAAGGAAAGAACATGTTTAATACGAAAGGACAAGCTTTTTGTATTTTAAGATTTGTAAATTAAGATAAAGGCCGAGTCATCAACGTTGTTTTCCCGGCCAAAACCAAGTAACCTAAAGATAAAACATGAATAAAGATTAATGAACATTTACAGTAAACAACGAGACTCACAAACGTGTATATTTCAAGTGTGAATATTTGTGAGTATGACACATTTTATACGGACAAGCCGATATATTTTGTGATTTACAAGAAGATATAAAGAATATAGTATGGCTATGGACCCAGGTGGTCATAAGACGGATGAAGTACGATCGAAAGTCTGCGAAAAAGACTTAGAAGAGAACATCTCGAAGGGAAAGAACAGCGAACAATTATTCGAAGACGAAGGTAATATTGATAAGTCCATTGTAATCAATACAGAAGACGATACGGGGAGTACTCGAAGCGTAGATGCAGAAGAACAACAGGCACGAATATGCACAAGAAAGGGCGTACAAGTAAACTTAGAAAATGCACGAAAAAAGACGAAAAAGTCAGGTATGGCTGTAGAATCTCGTATAAATCGTATAGATGAATTACTTAGAGAACAGTGTTGTGATATTGTGAAGCTCACTGCTAGTAAAGATGGTCTACAAATGGATATGGATGACTTTAAGCGATTTAATGAAGAGTTATCGGATTTGTTATTATTGTCTTTGAGTGATTATAATTCTAACATTGAGGATCAAGTGTATTTTGAGGGTATTCGTGAGAAGTACTTAGAGTGCTGTGCTGATGTTAAAACTAGAATAGGTGATTTAACACAAGAGAGATTGGAGATGCTTTCGCAGAAAATTTCGAACAGTGTTAAGAGTCGAATGTCGAGATTATCAAGGGCTTCATCTGTGTCGTCTAAACAAGCCGCTGCGAATGCTGCAGCATTAAAGGAGAAAATGCTCAGTCTTAAAAGGAAACAAAATATCGAAAGACAGCAAGAAGAGCTTAAACATCATCAAAGAGAACTAGAATGGCAAGTGGAACAAGAACAATTACAAGGTGAGATCAATGCTGCAGAAGTTTTACATCAAGCACTTTTGGGAGATACCATGTTGCAAAGTAGTAATACCCAACCTACATCTAACACTTTGCATGAAAATACCACTGAAATGAGTCAATTGCCAACTATTGCCAAGGATATGAACACTGGGACATCCAGTGACATGACAAATGCCCTAAATCCCACTGCACCCCTAAATCCCACTACACCCCCAAGTCCCACTACACCCTCGAATCCTATTACAACCCCAAATCCCACTACACCTTCAACTCCTACTACACCCTTAAATCCCACTACACCCCCAAGTCCCACTACACCCTCGAATCCTATTACAACCCCAAATCCCACTACACCTTCAACTCCTACTACACCCTTGAATC